ATTGAAAGTCATGCCGATTTAGGAGGTTTCTCTTGATTGAATAATTCCATCTTGCAAATAGAGCAAGTACAATATATGTACAAAGTGTTAAAATTGAAAACCGGAAGTCGTATCGTAGTTCACCTTATTACAAAGGGATCGTCAAACTGCCAAGTTGACTATTTGGCAACCACCCAAATTACATAACGTGAGAACATGGTGTGAAGTAGCTGAGTCCTGATGAGAATACAAAACTAAGTTTTAAACCTTGGATCTAGTGTTCTAATGGCCCATGTGTTGCATGTCAATACACGCAATTTTTTTCACAGAAATTGTATTACTAGATTCTTTTTATCAGTCAGGAGTTTTCAATACCTTCCCGAACGCTGGACTACTAGCACAGTTTTAAAAAGTAAGCTGTATATTGGACAGTAATATATTTTTGACTAGAATATGTGGTTGAAGAACGGATCGATCGAGAGCGATCAGAAACGTTATAAATGCAGCAGTGCACGAATTTTCGAAAAATCGATGTCGTTTTCCCGTAATATTGTTTATGTATTGAGCGAGTATACCCCTCCTCTCCAGGAGGAATTCCAAAATTGGGAAGCAACATGAAAGAAATCAAAATGTTGCAAAAATAATGACAATCAATGTCGCGGTGCATGGCCTACAGCCCCCAAAAAAGCACTACCTCAATTTTAATATTAAACAAATCGAAAAGCGATTTAGGTTCACGTTTTTTTGCATGTATCTCGTAGAATTATGCTACTCTAGCAGCCCAAAAAGCAGTTCTGCGGGTGTGCGGAAGATAGTTTTTCAACCCGTAGGTCACTTTACATGGTATATAAGTGATATATAAATCCGAACACCCAGTTTAAATGGTTTTATTTTAATAAAATTTTGTATAAGTACTTAATGAAGCATAATAAGTAAATGATAAAAATTTCAAAATGATTGCACTGCTTTAAAGCCCTTTGACCTTTAATAATGTGTGGATGCACCCTGATGTGCTACGCATTCTCCAACGCGCCTAGGCATGCTTCTGATCAGGTGGTCAATGTCATCCTGTGGTATCTCATTCCAGGCAACCACCAACTCCTCTCGAAGTGCTTCCAGAGTCTGAGGAGGACGTTGCAAATTGAGCAATCTCCTACCCATCATATCCCACACGTGCTCAATTGGGGATAAGTCGGGAGATCTTGGTGGCCATGGTAACAATGTGACATCATTATGTTGAAAGAAGTCTATTGTGACTCTTGCAACATGTGATCGGGCATTATCTTGTTGGAAAGTTGGATCTGCCAGGGTGTCAAGATAGGGAAAAGATGGGGTTCTAGAACTTCGTGGATATAACGCTGCGCGATCATGTTACCTCTGATGAAGATTAAAGGTGACCTGGAACCATAAGCTATAGCACCCCAAACCATAACTCCAACAGTGTGATGAACATGTCTTTCAACAAAAAACTGTGGATTCCTCCTTTCACCACGTCGCCTTCCAACCCTGGCACGACCATCGTGCATGCCTAAACAAAATCGTCACTAAAGACAATACTGTTCCATTCCTGATCCCAGAGTGACCGTTGTCTGCACCACTCAAGGCGATTACGTCGGTGTTCTCGAGTTAAAGGGAGGACCCAGTGTGGCCGGTATGAAAACAAGCCAAAACTTCTCATTTGTCGGTAAACACTTCGCATGCCAATATGTCTTCCGTGTTCTGCAAACCATTCATTTGCAATGGACCTGGTAGTGGAGAAACGGTCCCTTAAGGCCAATAATCTTAGGCGGCGATCTTCACGGTCTGTTGTTCTACGGCGGCGTCCAGTGCCCCTTGCTCTTTGCGTACGGCCTTCTCGAAGCCATGCCTGACAACACCTAACCACAATGTCTACACTTCTTTGCACTCTAACTGCAATTGCCCGAAAAGAAAGTCCAGCTTCCCGAAGTCCCACTATACGGCCCCTATCAAACTCACTAAGTTGACGAAATCGTACAGGTCTCCGTACTCTAGGCATCGTAACCGATCGTAAAGGATGTCAAGAACCAAAATCCGCCAACGTTGATTCTTTACTGCGGCTGAAATATTCATTTTTAGAGCGTTAGTGAATTAAAAAAAAGCAGTATAAAAACCGGAATGTCCAACTGATAAGGCTGAAAATTTTTTCACTTGTTATTTACAGTAAGATAAATACATTCACCAACTTTTATTAAAATAAAACCATTTAAACTGGGTGTTCGGATTTATATGTCACTTAGTATATATAATAAATCATAATTTTCCAAAATCGAGTTACTTCCAGAATTTTTTCCGATAAATCGTTGTTATTTATTATATTCTAAAGACGCAAGTAGTACGAGTACATATTTTCACGTATAAAACATATGATATCATTCACTACACACTGGTTACCTACTGCGCTTTGCTAACATATCTATGGCCCATAAAATAAAGGGAAAATTGTAGATGCCCTAAAAATTTAAATATCACACACAATTCCAACGAGCCGAGGCACGAACAAGAGATCTCAAGCAATTTTCACCAGATGAGATTATCTAATAAGGGTTGATGAGAGACATTCCATTCAAGGTCGAATTATGCCAATTTTTACGGACGTACCATTCATACCTAAACTGTTATGGCAGGTACCTGCATCCGCTGTCTTTATTCCTAGTTATTCCAATGGTGTTTGATCGAATTCTGATCGAAATGCGGATAGGGGACTTTCGTACTTCATTAGGGAAAATCCTTTAGTTCGTCATTAGAATATGATATATAACTCTTCAATATATAATTGGCCATCACATAAGGTAGTAAACCAATCCTGGGGTCCTGACTCTGTTTTCGCCCCCCCCCCCTAAAAAAAAACTTAACTCCTGAACACGCATTATACCCATGACTATAGAACCTCTTACTCTATCCACCATCAGCCATAACAGTAATACGAGTATATGGTGCATTGCAACTGACTCCTCTTTTTTTGCCAACAGCTCCCATATCGTCCGTAAGAAATTCTTCCCATATCGTCCGTAAGAAATTCTTCCCATACCTTGATGGAAATGCAAATAATATTTGAATATTTAATGGGTTATGCAGAGAGGATAGGTGTTTTGGAAAGTTTATGTCGTACTTCCATTGCCTATATGATTTGAGATGAACGACGTTTCGTTTTGAGTATTATCTATAGTCAGGTGAAAATTATTTGTTCTTTAACTGTAGCTTTCATTTGTGTTATCGGGTAAACGTTTTAATTAGCATTTTTCTGGTTAGGTTTTCGTATCGATAACCATAATTAGCCTTCAAAACGACAAAATAAGTAATCAAATGTTTTTATAGTTAAATTGCCAACTTGTAGAATTTGTACCTTTGTAGCTACTATTAGCCGATTCGGAGACACTTTTTGTTATTACGAGAGCTATTCCAGTTGATATGCTCCCCCAAACTGCTGCAGAATTGAGTTTTTTTCGTGCTCTTAATGTATAATCATAGCTTTCTTACAATTTTCACAAAAAAATGTAACTTTATGAGATGTCCTCTGATTGTTTTTTTCACGAAGTCCATCCTACCCATTATACAATTCCTCCAATGATTGCACACTTCACGATACTCCGACAAAATATGGCCCAAGTTAACAATCCTCCTGCCATCTATTCTGTCAGCAATGCTTAAGTAATTTTGGTCCCTCACTAATTCAAAAGCATAAACGAGGTTTTGCCAACATCACTTTTGACACCAACTGGACAAAGCTCAGATCATTAATTGCTGTTATCAACAAAAGGCGATGCAGATAGTTCATCAACTTCTTTTCTTGACAACCTGGATAAAAAAGCAAGATGTAGAGATCAAAATCTGAAGGCAAAGCTGGAGACGAGCTGCAAAATGAATATGACTTTTTTGCTCTGCCCAGCTCAGTGTATTTGAACAAAACTATGGAAAATGTTTCACCCAATCTTTTGTGTGACAATAGCGCAGGTTTTTGGCCATACATCGACTAACTCAATTTAAAAGCTTCAAAGAAGCATTGTGAAACCAGTTTATGTGCTCCAGCTTGATAATGCAGCTCGACTTTTAGACATTTTTCAACAACAACAATTATCAAGTAACAATACAAATAGAATACTAAGAAACACTTGGGAAAAACGTACTCGACCGATACAGTTCCAACAGTAGCGAAAAGAATGAATATGCTGAAACGTGGCATCACGGCGAAGAGATACGCATATTCACCTCCGATTACAGCCAATCATCCGCCGCGGTAGGCGTGGCCAGCGGGAGGCGGGTTTCTCTCAGAATTTACACCAAATAGCAGCGATATCTCGGAAAGCGTTTGAGCAAAAAAGTTGTTTTTTTCAGCAATGGTTTGTACTGCTCTTTTTCTAGGTCTTGAGTTAATTTTTTTATGAAAACTCAGTTTGCTTTTTCGGAAAAAACAAAAGTTTTTCTGTTGAAAAATTTTTAAGAAAAAAAGTAATATCTCAAGGTAATCTACTATAAATGTGGAATATTGTCATACAATTTTAGAGCTACACTGTTATTCATTCACAAACTGCGATTGCCGAAAAAATGGACAAAAAATACATTTTTTTGATGAAAAAATTGCTAATATTGCTTATCATCCACCACTTTATACAGAATGAAGGTATCAGACGAAAATAATTAAAAAAACTCCTTCAATCAAGCTGTTGAATAAAAGGGACCCTATGGCTTTAACTTGTAGTGAAGATCAGCCTTGATGAACTGATGATGACGTTGCGTGGGAAGTGTGGAGACAACCTAATTGAGGCCATTTTTTTTGCTAATATCTCTGCATGGGCAAATCCGCAGTCAGTCTACTTGACTCTTTTTTCTCCGAAAAACAATAACTCCATTGAATTGGCGTTTAGTTGGTCGCGCCGGCGTTGTTGATCCGGCAGCCAAACTAGAGCATGGGTTTATTTATAACTAGAGTGGTGCGACCTGGGAGATCGTCTCCGCCGCAGCGCCGCTTATTTTTACCCTAGTAATTCTACCTTTTGCCGTAGGGCGGTGACGAGGAAGAACGTCTGAAAAAATAATGGCCGCGCCAAGAGGGATGAGCAAGTTGCAAGCATGGATCTAGCGGAGGTGGTGGAAGACCTGATCTGCACGTTCGACGGACCAGCTGACCACACCATGGACACCCTGGCCATGTTCGTATTTGCGTGGATCCTGCTCGCGCTTGCCCTTCTCTGTCTAGGCAGGTTCGTGTATGATAGGGTGCAGGCATCACGCTCATCGTCCGCCTCTAAGGCCAAGTTGATTGAGGTAGGTTAGCCAACTCTTAGAGATCAACACAACTATCTGGTCATTTGTATGCTTTTTCATTTCTTTGTTGTCACATTGTTGTATTGAAAGTAGAATGGCGACTTCTCACTCAAATAACTTTGAGTGCCATTCAGTTCAACTTGCCAGTACATACATAACTGGTGCTTTGATTGATAAATTATCTTATTTGGTTTACAGTTTCTTGACATCAAATAATCGTCAGTACTATTGAAGAAATTCATAATACTAATTCATGAAAACCTGAAAAATTCCTGAGGATAGTTTTGTATAATGATTCTTGGTGGGTATCTGGAAAGATTGAATTTTAAAACATAAAATCCACAACATTCTTATAAATAAATAATCATTCTGTTGACTCGTCAATCGATAATATTATGAGAGCTGTCAAATTCATGTTGTTGCTCTTTATAACATTCGTGCTGAACTCAAATTCTATCTATATAGACTAGGTCGTAATGGCATCATACCTATAACGTCAACGTTATAATAATAATAAACGACTTTTATTTCAGGCGAAGTTTAGCTACAAGCTATTCTACCACTTAACCCTTTATATCATCAGTTTGTAAAATATCCGCCTTTATTATAATTTCTGTCATCTAGGTAATTCTGACTATGATCAATAGCACTCGCTGCCAAATCTTAGAGCTGTCTAGGTCTAGAGTGTGGTTTAGTTTAGCCGCTAAATGTCATTAAATGAACTGACAATAATCGGCAATGGATATAACTGCCTACAAAATACTCCAGATAACGCTAACATTCAGTCTCTGAGTCATGCCTTTTTCCTTCCTTCATTGTTCCTTAAAATTTCTCTCAGAACCCATTTTTCACTACGACTATTCTCTATAATACCCCTCCGAGATAAACACGTGAATCCTTCAACTAACAAACCAGTTCTAGCATGTTTGGTAAACCTTTTTGCCATACTTTTTCATACACTTATTACTATCTTTTTTTAGTATTTTCCCCCTTAATTGATATCATTATATATAAACATATTCAAGGTTTTCGCTCAGCAAATCGGCTGTATCCAGAAAATTGATGGTTAAGGTACAAAATTCAAAGTTTACTGGCTGTTATGATTTACAGTTCAATAATAATGATACTGTCCATCATCTATAATTAATATTTTACTGAATATGCGGAAATAACCCAGGTGATACCTAGAATATTTGAAAAGCTTCATACATACAGATTCGATCTTGCTTAAAAGTACAAAAATACAACAGTACTTTGAGAAAAAGATTTGGAGATATGCCAAACTACCGCCTTCATTGTTTGTTAATGCTTTTTGTCGCTTGTAAACAATGTACAGTTATCTATGTGGCAAAATAAAAACGTATTTAATAACTGAAAGTTATACTGTAGAACTCAAAGCTTACACTGGCTTCCCTGATTTTAAAGAATGCCCTGTAGTGGTGAATATTATAGGATGTAAAGTTATGACGATGATGATATATAAAATTACATAGTTAAGGATATAACATATTTCTACTTTTGTGAAACTACAGATTATCCTATTTTCAACTATTTTGTAAGTCCAGCCAAACAGTCAGCTACGACTAAGTGTTTTGAAGTAATGCTATCTATTTTGAGCCCAAACTTCATAAACGTCCTAATAAAAATAATTTCAATTTCTGTTATCTCATCAACTTTCTAATTTACCATAGAGTTTCTTCTAGTCTTTTGAAAATCTTTTAAATTACATGATACTCAACCTGCAAGTTTTATCGACCTACGATAAACACGTCATATGGAAAATTGCACTCTAGTTGTGAAAAACTATGAACATTATCTAAACAGTAAAAGGTACAAAAATATGGAAACAAGTCGCCTGACCTAAGCAATAATTTAACGATACCAACAAAAAAATTACTGTCGTAAAAATTGTAGGAAAACAACATATTTCCTGACCTAGTCAGAGAACTTGAAGAGATTGGAATTTTGACCCGGAAATTGAGCATGCATTAAGTAGAATCAACATTTTGTTTCGCGTTCGATGGCCAACCTGTAGACATGAAATCGAGTAGGACCCAAAAATCTTGAGTCTCGATTCAATGTCAATGTGATGATTATCGTTTTTTTTTTCGTTTTCAATGGAATTATGTATTTTGAATTTTTGGCTCATGGTTAGAAAGCCAACCGTCACTACTACGAAGATGTTTCGACAACACGCCAGCTCACGCAGCCAGTTTTGTGCTAAAAATCTAATGACGGTCCTCCCTCAAATTGCCCAGTCACCAGATCTGTTTTGCAAAGTGGAAACACTGCTGGGAAAAGTGAGTGTATAGGAGTAGGGAGTTGTTTGAAGGTGGCAAGAACTAACTATGTAAATAATCACACTTATTTTTGGAACAGACCTCGTATGCTGTCAAAATTTCAGGTATGAGGGCTAGATCTACACGTCCAATTTCTATACTAGACAAGCAGCAGCGAACCTGTTTTGCTATTATTCTTGATAAAATGATGCGTTTGTTTCAGACTCCGGCCAAAACAACAGACGCAGTATCCGCCATCTCCTCCGCAGCGCTAGCCGCCGGTGCTCCCGGCGTTCGCAAAATCGCTGCTACAGGCGCGCCGCCCGTATCAAGTTCCTCATCTAAGGGCGGGTACGTACCCCCGACGCCGCCCACGCGCAAGCGACTCGTTCGTCAAAGTCCGGCTCCCGAAGCAGGACGGAAGTCCAAGTACACTCCTGCCCCGAGATGTACCGGCCCTGATCCCGAGGTGGTGCAATGGGTTAACGAGGTGGTCCAATGGTTGTACAATGATTTTGTCATTGCCAATGAGTTGCTGTCCATTTGGATTGCATCGTTGAATGAGTATACGAAGAAATCTGTTACGGAGGTAAGACTAAGCGCTTTAGGCCAGGGAAATAAGCGAAAAAGACGCCTGGTTCAGGACACTTGAAGAGACAGCAAACCAATGGTCGGTTCACATGTTTCAAATTCGACCCTCACTATTGGGATCTCAGAAGCGTTAAGAGATACGAAGTCATTAAATGGAGGCAAAGTTGCGTATTTAGGTAAATAACAAAATGCCGCTTAGAAAGTTTCGAAATTCAAAGTACTTCTGGAGAGAGACGGAGAATTTTCCCAAAATCTTTTAAATTTTATACTGACTTTAATTGTTATGGTTTTTTTCAAAATAAATTATATATATATACAGTAATGGACAAAAGTATATAGACACATATGAATATTTACCTAAATACCTTTAGAAAACGAATTCCTTGTCTGCAATGAACACAATACAAGTATGAATATAAGCACTTTTTTATGAGGGACAAAAATATGTAGACAAATTCTTTTCAGCATTAGTTTAGTACAGTTTCGTGTCAGAAGAGGATTAGATTGTGTTCATCAAGTATTGTGGAATAAGTTGAGTGATTTTAAGACCATGCCGCGTGGTCCAGAATTTCTTTCGATGTGAAAACTAAGATCATTGAGTTATACAAAGATGGCCAACGTCAAGTCGACATTGTCAAAAATTTGAAGCTGAAGCGTAAAGCAGTTTGGGCAATATTGAATAAATATAAACAAAAAGGTATCTTGGAAGCCTCTAAGGCCCGTATCGTCAGTCGTCCCTACAATTGTAGGGCGCGTTTATGGCCTCCTTGATTGTCATAGTTTTCTATTTCTCCGTGTCAGAGCTCTATTTTGAGGTTATGTCACAAACATCTATTTGCATCAAATTGTGCTTGCTTTGCAGTTCTCAAATGGCCTTCACAGTCTCCCGATATAAACCCCATTGAAAATCTGTGGGAATACTTAGATAAGCAAATACGAGATAAAAATTATTCAAACAAGGATGAACTTTTTGCCGCTTTAGAGCAAAAGTGGAGACTGATTGATGAATCTTATATCAAGAAACGTTCTACACTCTATGCCGAGACGATGCCAGATGGTGATTGATAATAATGGTTATGCTACAAAATATTAACACAAACATGGTTGGTTTTCTATAATCAACTTTTCTTCTTTTTTCTATAATTGTTTTGCTTTGTCTATATATTTTTGTCCATAGTTCCAGTTTTTTCAATTAATTTTTTATTGAAGGGAGTCTAATGAATTTATTTATGTATAAAAGAGTATTATGCTATAACGAATCATGTATACAGGTTGGTGTATTAATAAAACAAGTTAAAAAAGAAATACAGCACAATATTAATTAGTCTATATACTTTTGTCCATTACTGTATATATATATATATATATAATATAAATAAAGTTTTTAATTCTGGTTCGAAAAATGTTAATATGTCATACATTGATATTGCCAAACCTTAATTATTTAGAAAAAGACAGAACTTTCTAGTTAGGCCTTGAAATTATCATAACGGACAACATTATAAATATCTGCTATGATTTACATCTGCTTTTTCATTCCCTCTTTCCAACAACAAAATCAAATAAGCCAACTAAGGAAATACATCACTTAGCTTAGGACTGAAAACTCCATTTAAATGTACAAAATTCCAAAGTAGCGTCCATATGAGAAAACAAAGTTGTTAATGGAAGGCGAAAGAAGACACCTCAAATTGAAAATCTCATCTCAAATAAAATCGAGAAAAAAGAGAAATGATTTTGGTATACGAGTCAAATGACTCTGATCATTTAAATTCAGGAAATTCTTTTTTATTTTTAAGTGACTGAGGTTTGGCTAGGTCAATATATGACAGTTTATACACTTTTGGAATCAGAATTGATAGCTCTATTTTGCTAAAAACCAATATGGCGTCTAAGAACCAATTGAAGTTGAAGTTGATGCTGGAGGACAAGAGATAAAACTATATATTGAAATTCTAATTATGTCATTTTGTAGAGTAGAACCAGTGGCAACGTTAATGTGCAATTTATTTTGAAATACCACTGGATATAAAGTCAGGAAAAAATTGAAACGTTTTCAGGATAATTCGGTTTTTCTGTCTCTCTTCGGAAGTACTTTGACTTTCAAAACTCTCTAAGGGGAATTTTGTTGATTACCTAAATAAGAAACTTCGCCCCCATTTAAGCGACTTACTTCGTATTACCGTTTCCGAGATAGCAATGGTGAGGTTCAAATCTGAAACACTTGGTTTATTAATAAAATCCATGCTAAAGTGCAGGACATTCGATCATGTTTTTGAGTTTTCAGCAATTCTAAAATTGCATTTTCTTCTTATTCTCGCTTACACATAGACCACACTGTAGTTTGATGAAGATTAATCAACTTGTATTATATTGAAAATGCTTCAAAATGCCCGTTAAAACTAGTTAATAAAATTGACACGTTGGTGAGAACTTTCTTCCATCTTTTTCGTAACAGTCTAATATTTAAGCTACAATGTTTTTTGAGCAGCTAAAAATTTAATATCTAGTAACGTTAAGTCTTGCCCCAAAAGGGGTGCTCTCATTTATATGTCGGGTTGTCTTTGGGTTCCGAACGCCAGTTGCTTTTGGTGCGAACTGTTCTCTATGAGCCAAGCAACTTGTGATACTCCAGAAAAGTCCTTTATCTTTTGATAACTGCGAACTTCAGAGAACTTGTATATCTAATGGCTTTGCGTATGTGTAAAATTTCACTAATTCTTTCTTAAAAAGGAGGCATTGTTCATTAACTCATGTACATTACTTTTTTATTTCAGCAAGGCATTGGTGTAGAATTAGTTCGGATTTTACCAGAAACTCATCCACCTAATTTGACTAATATTTTTGCTGAGGCGGATTCTAAGGATGATGTGGTAAGTTCTCCATACTAGGTTATTGTCATGTTTTTCTAAGTGACTTGATAATAAATGTAATGAATGGTTGCAAAAAGTTATAAAATTTTTTTTCCTAAATTAGTGTCATTGCTGCTTGAAAGGATTATGTAGAGTCGGAGTAATTATTTGTTGTACTTACTAATATAATTTTTTGGGTATAGATAGATAGATAAATATACTTTACTGTCTGAAGAATACAACTATTCTTAAAGACAAAGCTAACTTAGAACGAAACTATAACAATTAAAAATTAAAAAATCACTTTATGGATAATCAAAATACATAGTGACGTACTTTTAATAGACAAGAATGTAAAGTTACAGAAAATGGATTGAAGAAAAATATGTAACCGAATCATTATACAAAATTGACATTGTAGCATCAATGCTAAATAAATCATCAACAACAACAACAATAATTATAAATGTGGATCTAAGTAGGTGAACTGTAGAATTCTCACATGGTATAATATGGTTCGCATATTAAAAAGTTTTCAAGTTTACGGCGGAATTATTTCAAATTGTCAATTTTTTTTTAATAGCATCTAGGAGACATGTAAATTTTCAGACCATTATAAATTATTGAGTCTTTCACAAGCGTTGACTGAGGTACTATTAATATAAATTCTTGTTTTCGTCTATATAACTTATATTTAATGTTTCAAATTTAGATTTATTTAAAAAAATAAGAGTTGCCGTTTAGAAAAGGAGCAATGATACTACAGCCATTATTTTAAGATTCCCAAATAAAGCCCTGTCTATAGCTCTAAGATTGCTTTTAGTTATATATCTAATATCTCGAATTTTGAGGTGATATTTTCAATTCACGGTTATCTACAATGATACTACAGCCATTATTTTAAGATTCACAAATAAAGCCCTGTCTATAGCTCTAAGATTGCTTTTAGTTATATATCTAATATCTCCAATTTTGAGGTGATATTTTCAATTCACGGTTATCTACTCTGAATTTTAACTTTTTGGTATCGAAAGCTTCCAAGAAAAGTATTTACAAGTTGTTCATAAAATGTTAGGAAGGGATTGTAAGTAAGGAAGCAGTAATTCCAGTTTATTGTGATACATCTAAGTAAGGAAGCAGTAATTCTAGTTTATTGTAATACATCTATTATATGATTTTTTATAGTTCTGATCACTAAAAAGTCTGGTATATTTGTAACTATTTTGTTTCTTGGAATTACAGTTCATGAGACTTACTAAGGCGGCTTCATGATCTGACAATCCAGCAGATAAAACAGTGCAAGAAATGATATCATAATTTGTACATATCTAGCCAATTTTGGTGGATAAAGATTGAGATACATGTGTATCATCTTGAACTTGCATATTCAAGTTAAAAGGAAAAAGAAGTTGTTTAATGACCAAAACATCACAATTATTGTCATTATAATTGATATTAAAATTTCCTGCATGTAAAATATTAGAATTTAGGGGTAAATTCGTTAAATTTGTTTCTAGATTGTTATAGAATAAATGAAGCTTCAGATGTCTTCTAGATCGCTAATAACGAATTAAATATCGATTCTTAACCAATCTAAAAGGCGAATCTGATACTACGGCTATGTTTACAGACATTTACTTAGCCATAATTTTGCATGCAGAGGCATATAAGTGGAATTGATGTTATCAAAAGATGAGTTATGCATCTTTTTAACTTTAGGCAAACGCGATTTTTTTGTACTTTTCGACAGATCTTGGTTCTTGAACCACTGTGGAGCGGTACTTTCCAAGTTACAGAGACATCAAGTATCAGCGGACAGACATATATATATATATATACACGTGAGCAGTAGTCATATATATATATATATATATATACAGGGTAGCCCATCCATGTGTGGACGGAATATTACTCATTAACAAATACATTTTGAGGAAATCTATTTATGGCATGTTATACAATTTTGACCTACATATCAAAGTTGTGATTTTTTAAATGGAATGCCACAAATTTTACTGCATATTTGAATAAACCGATTCAAAAGAAGAAAATTGATATAACATACTATGGGGTTTTGGTAATTAGCTACTGAGATGTAAGGTGTTTTGTCTAGAAAAACCCCCCACTTCGGCATCTCCTCAGTCCACCATTTTGAAATTTGGAGTACTGAATTATGTATAAAAAAAACTCACACACCTCAGCTTTTATCTTGTTTGTTACTTTTTCGAATTTTAATTTTTACTCATACAGGGTGGTCAAAAACGCAAATTGTAGTTTTTCTCAAAAATTTCAAATGCATCGACCTGTATATTTGTGCAAATTTGGATTCAATTTTTGATAAGCTTTTTTTTTGATTCTAGACACATAAGGGTTTTTACGGCTGTTTTTTCGTTTTTTTATAGAACGGCTTAATTCCCTAAAATATCGCATCATACTTGGAAACACTTAAATTGTTGATTAGTTACAAACTGTCAAAATTAGCTTTGTGAGCATTATAATAAAAACGTGTTTGACAATGAATTTTTCTAAAGAAGAAATGGTGAATATGGTGTTCGTTTTGGGCGAAGCCCAAAGAAATAGTTTCCTAGCATCTCGCATTTATAAGCAACGGTACCCTAATATTCAATATCCAACTCCGGAAACATTTTCCACACTACGAGAACGTTTTGAATCAAGTGGAGCAGTGGAATATAGTAAAAAATGTATAAATAATCCAAGTGTCACCAATGAGTCGAATCAGTTGGACGTTCTATTAAAGTTGCAGGCAAATCCCCATTCAAGTGCACGGCAAATTGGAGCAGAAACTGATATATGCAGAACTTTACGGTCATTTATCCAAAGACTACGGCTGTGTATTCAACATGGTGGAGATATTTTCGAGCAGTTTTTGTAGATTAGGTCTTGATTAGTGATAGTTGTTTGTTTATGTTGTTGTTATAGTTGTTTTTCTCTATACGCTTGAAGCTGGTTCATACTGTTTTGAATGTAATTGGTTTTTACATCAAATCTGTACTCTTAGTGGCAATATGGAACTAGCTCACTGTTTGTCGTTTGTTTCCATGGATGCTGTGATTTTCTCTTTAATTTTGGTGTGTTGTTCAATTAAAAGCTTAATAACCCAAAATCTGGTGATTTTATCTGAAACAAACCTGGTACAAAAAAAAGCTTATAAAAAATTGAATCCAAACTTGCACAAATATACAGGATGATGCATTTGAAATTTTCGATAAAAAGTACAATTTGCGTTTCTGACCACCCTGTATGAGCATAAATGAAAATTCGAAAAAGTAACAAATTAGATGAAAGCTGAGGTGTGTAAGTTTTTTTTTATACAAAATTTCGCACTCCAAATTTCAAAATGGCGGATTGAGGGGTTGCCGAAGTGGACGGTTTTTCTGGACAAAACACCTTACATCTCAGTAGCTAATTACCAAAACCCCATAGTATGTTATATCAATCTTCTTCTTTTGATCTGGTTTATTCAAATATGCAGTAAAATTTGAGGTATTCCGTTTAAGAAATCACAACTTTGATATGTACTCGTATGTCAAAATTGGGACACCCTGTATAATTGTCATTTTTTTTATAAATGTGCCCTCACATGTGATGTATAACATCCTATTAATAGATTTTCTCAAAATGTATTTGCTTATGAGTAAAATTCCGTCCACAGATGGATGGGCCACCCTGTATATATATATATATATATATACAGATTGACGAAAATGAGTGACATGGTTTTTCCTGATGAACTTGTCATATAACATCGAAAATTCATAATATCTTATTGCCAATCTTTTTGCGATTACAATACTTCCTCGCCAATTGGCGTGGGACGTAAACAGAATCAAACTTATTCTATTTCGCATATGAAACCGAAATCTATAATCTGATTTATAAACATTTGACAGACGATAACAATGGATTGCGACTCGACGCCCGCGTTCCAGCTGAAAAGCTTCCGACAGAAGGCTGACAAGGTGGATACGGCGCATTACCGCGTTGACGTGAACCGTTTCAGGGCTCGGCTGCACTTCTACGTTATACCCGAAAAAATGCTATTCGAGGTGCGCTGTGATGGTTGGCCGGAGATCAAGATAGCCCTTGCGCCTGTAGGTACTATCCGTAATAATTTGGATGAGGCCCAGCTCCAGGAAGTCATCATGTAAGTCGTTACATGTTTAAGTCTATATTTTTGAAAATTTATGTCAGTTAAAGGTATGGGTTTTAAAGAAAAATCAGTTCTAGGGCGCATTTATGTAGAATTTCAGAAGGACTTGTATGCATTTTACAATAGAACTTATTCTTGTAAATTAAGATCTAGAAGATACAAATAATTAACCTTGGTAACTTTTTTATCAAACATTAAAATTGGAAAACTATTAATATAAGTGGTATAAACAAAATAATAAATTATTGTCATAAGGTTTATAATAGTAAACATAGACAATGTCAACATGAGAAGAAATAAACAATACACACAAAAACATTACATCAAAAATACTATGGACAATTAAAATATTCATTTAGTGAATAAAAGGCCTTTTCTATTAAATAAGCTTTCAAACTTTTTTGAAGCCATATATATTTTGCGGTCTTTTATATATACTGGCAAAGCATTAAAATTTTGTATACCGTTATAGGTGTAGAATGGGCTTTGCTCATATGACCTGGTTTTATGATGGGTCACACATAGATGGTTACATTTTCTAATGATCATATTATTGTAATAATAACTTTTCCTGTATTTATCGAGGTTTTGGCTTTGTATCAATACATATTCTCAATATGTATATACATCGTACTGTCAATATTTTAAATTTTTTGTAGTCTGTGCAAGATGTCATCTGGGGTAATTTTAATGTTTCTCTTAATATTCATTTCTGGTATATAAAAACCTAGGCAGATTTCGAAGACAGATTCCACATGAGCAAAGTAAACCATTTTCAAGACTTCAGTACTAACTTGATCTCTAATACTATGTACTAAATAGTAGGCAGAGTTCATTTTCGATAACACTGCTGTTATTTGTTCTGACCACTTGAAAGAATGGTCTATTTTCGCAGCGTTCGTTTGAACTAAGGTTTTTCCGTTAAAAGTGATTTGGGGGTGTCATCATTGAAGTATGCGAAACTCGAATTATCGATGTTCAAATGTAATAAGCTGTCATTGCACCATTAAAGTGAGGTGGATGAAACACGAAAGTAGTTCTTAGTTTTCTACTAAGTTTCCGATCTGTTGCAAGCACTTTTTCACGAAACGGTGTTTCTCCAGTGTGTGTATTTCGAAAAAAATTTCGATTAAAAGGGTGACAAAATTTGTGCAATTTGTATCCTATGCAAAAAAGAAAAATAAAATAGAGGTTAAATAGAGGAACCTACATCACTATGGAATGCCTTGAAAGAAACGGAAACAAAAAAGAAAGATACCACTATTAACTTGATAAAAGATGAACAAAATCATATATTTACATCAAAACAAGAAATCGCAAGCAAATTTGTAAAATATTTTTCTAATATAGGTGGGACACTCAGGAATAATGTTAAAAAATTAACGTATAGTGAGTCTCTACAGAAAAATACACACCAAATTCATTCAACTTATTGAATACTGATGAAAACGAAGTTACTGAAACTATAATAAACTCAAAAAAGAAAAAATCGCCAGGTTATGACAATATAAGAGCAGAAACTCTAAAAAGTATAGCTATCTATATAGCCAAACCTATTACATTCATAATAAATTGGATATTTGAAACTGGTACCATTGATAAACATAGGATTTGTGACATGTCAATTTTTGGGTGTATCTTATGTGTTTTGAGACTCTTAAATCAAATCTAAAAACAGAATTTTTCCATCACCCACAGATATTTGGTAACATTTACTTTTATGAACTACAATACGTAACATTTCATATTGCTGCATTTCTCGGCGTTTATGCGATGACGCACATATATAATGTTAAGACCTGTCTATTCCTGTTTATTATATGCGAGCTCTATGTTTAGAGAGCATATTGCGTTTATTAGTAGACTAATAGTAGCCGAGTCAGTTACGTTTTCTGTGTTGAGGAGTACTGGGTATTGTTCATTTTTGTTAAAACGGTGTGTTGTTTTTAGTTTATTGTGATCGAGACCAGCTTTATGGACAGTGCCTTGAAATTATGTTAATAGTGCGAACAGTTTTTGTTATGTGTGCGGAGAGCTAACTTTTAAATCCCAAAAACGTACTTTTACTCCCCTTGTGTTGAAAGCGTACAAACTTTATTTTGGAATTGAAGTTGGCGACCAAGATAAACTATGGGCCCCTCATATATGTTGTAAGACTTGTGTAACGTTGTTAACAGGTTGGTTAAGAGGCGACAATCTTAAAATGCCCTTTGCGGTACCAATGGTTTGGAGAGAACCGAGAGACCCTCACAAATATTAAAGGTATTGGACCAAAATCGAAACATACTGTTAACTATTTTAATTTACCATCAGCTTTGTGGCCCGTTAAGCATAGGGATGAACTTTCTGTCCCAGTTCCACCAGGATCTTGGTCTTTGGATGAAAAAGTCGATTCCACCGATTCTGAAAGTGATGGTACAGAAAGCGTAAAAATTTCCGATCCTTCTTTTGACCTGTCAGGATGTTCAACAGTACCGCATTTGATCACACAGAGAATTAAATCTGTCAAAATCCCAGTCAGAACTTTTAGCATCAAGATTTAATGTATGGAATCTTCTTTACGGTGATGTTAACATTACTTTTTACCGAAAACGGCAACAAGACCTCGCACACTGTTTCCGTCAAGAATGGGAGTTGATATATTGCTCCGATGTCAACAATTTGTTTGACGCGTTAGGACAGAAACATGATCCAAATTATTGGCGCCTGTTCATAGTTTCCTCTAAGCTTGGTTAAAAAGCGGTATTGGTACACAACGGTAATAAATATCCATCTGTACCTATATCGCACGCAGTTCATATGAAGGAAACATATGAAAATATGCTAGTTCTGTTAGAGCATATTCGTTATAATGAATATGGATGGGCCGTATGTGCAGATTTAAAGGTAATTGTCCTTTTTCTTGGAATGGAACTAGGATATATGTATAAAATATCGTTGTTTTCTTTGTGAATGGGACAGGCGTACCCGAGATCTTCATTATGAACAGGAGTGGCCACTACGACAGGTATTAATTGCGACCGTCAAAAACGTTGCTCATGAACCACTAGTTGAGCCCAAAAACGTGTTGCTTCCTAAGGTGGATCTGATGATTTTGTGAAAGCTATGGATCGAAATGGAAGAGGGTTTCTGCATTCAAAACAAACATTTCCGAGACTTAGTGAGGCAAAAATTAAAGAGGGCATATTTGTGGGGCCACAAATACGGAAATTCATGAAGGATGATGTATTTAACAGTGCTCTGAATGAAACTAAATTACGAGCTTGGAATGCTTTTAAATCAGTTACTGCAAATTTTTTAGGCAATGTGAAGGCGGACAATTATAAAGATATTGTGACTGAACTAATTCATGCTTATAAAGGAATGGGATGTAATTAATATGTCTCTAAAAATTCACTCTTTGGATTCTCATCTCGATTTTTTTCCGGAAAATTTAGGTGCGGTAAGTGATGAACATGGTGAACGGTTCCACGGTTCTGCTGTGGAAAAACGGAATCCAAGCAAATTGAGTGTCAATTTGCTTTCTGATTATTGCTGGACATTGTTGTTGATGAGAGATACTTCAGGAGCAACATATCACCGTAAAAGATCGACAACAACATTCTGAGATTAATGTTTATTCGAGTGTTTATTAGTACTCTTACACACGTATATTTATGAGAATAAGCAGCAATTAAAATGCCTTATTGCAAGAGAACCGTGGGTGATAGAAAAAATCGAATGCTATTTCCGGCTTTTTGGGTACGTTTTACATAATAACCACCTTGTTTTGTCCATTTCACAAAACATATTTTAATTTTGTTCACCAGTGTAATTATCCCAGTGCATTTAAAACGGCTGTAATAACACCATTACTAAAAAGTGGTGTGCGGAATTAAATAACTATAGACCAATTTCTGTAATAACAAATTTGGCGAAGATATTTGAAAAATTCCTAAAAGTACTACTAGATTAGTTTATTGAAAAATTTAAATTAATATCTGATTCACAGTTTGGCTTTAGAAAAGGTGTATCTACCAAATATGCCATGAAATTATTAGTAGGCGACTTAACTAATATATTGATAACAACACTCGCTATTCATCGACTTACAAAAAGCATTTGACACTATAGATCTCGACAAACTGTTGCGTAAATAAGAACACATTGGAATTAGAGGTACGCCACGTAAATTATTTTCAAATTATTTGCATAAAAGAAAACATGAGATTAAAACTGAAAATATATCTAGTGAAGAAGTGACTGCAATGTATGGAGTTCCACAAGGAACAATACTTGCAGCCCTTTTTTAATATATATATCAACGAGTTATATAATTTATTAACATAAAGTGGAAAAATAGGATTTGTAGATGACACCACCATCAGTCATAAAGCCAGTACTTCTACAATATTAAAAGAAGACATTGAAAAAGATTTAGTACAGATAATAGAAATTATAAAAAACCTACTTTATTCCCTTCACCTCTTACATAAATAAATTGTCGCTATATAATCATAAATATCTCGGAATTGTTTTAGACTGCTATCTTCGTTGGGATGAACATATCCGACTCCGTCACAGTGAGTTTCAAGCCGTTTGCCAGGGCTTAGCTGTTTCGAAACTGAGACTCAAGTTTTCAATTTTTTTGAAAGAAATTTATACAGTATGTTCAGAGAACAATTGCCCAGGGTACTATCGGAGCACTTTCTGAAAATTTGTTTGCGCAAGACTTATGGTGGGTTGAAGTGCTTACTTTTTTGTTAAACTTCGCGATTTTTTTAATAAGAGCCGAGAGAAAGAAATGAAAAAGTTGCTCGATAACACTCTGTAGGGTTTTGTTTCCAGCACAGTGTAAAAATGTCATTCGAGAATATTAAAAAATGAAGCGTCGGTTTCGAAGCGCGCAAACCTCTACAAATCGGATTTTGCACGAATTTTGTCTACTGTTTCGTGCTGCCAACCCAAGCGATGCGGCGGAATGTACGGACTAAGAAAGGACGTATTCAGATAAT